ACCTTTCTCTGAAGCATCCGCTACAGCGATCTCTGGCTGTAAGTGCTATGCGAAGAGTTAGGAGAGCGCTCGAGCCAGGCGTTCCAGTAATTAAGAAAATGATTGCTGGCATAGAGGTACGGGCACTCATTTCATTGTGGGTGGCTTGTACTGTCTGTCTCAAAGTCCTCACCCTTTTTTGTTTGTCTTGGCCTGTCTTTTGGCTTAGTAGACTTTCTGTACAAGTGGTGTGCACGTTTGGGTTTGCAGGGCATGCCATCAGTTCTCTGCAGTCAAAGTAGGACGTGTTATATGCAGTGATGTTTTGTTTATTAAACTTTGATATTTCAGTTGCAATATTATGTTAATTCAAGCAAAGTTCTACAAGACGTGGCAAGTCAGGTTTGCAGGGTCTTGCCTCTCCCTAGGATGGTTTTTTTTTGTTTTTTTTTTGTTTTTTTTTTTTACAGAGAACAACTCTTTCACAGAGAGCTGAGAACAACCGCTGTTCTTGCAGATTTTCCATATTATGTTGATCTCTTTTTCAGACACTCTAGTATGCATATTTCTTCTTTCAGCTAAATTACACCTTAAGTGTGGCCAAAAGTCTGTGATACTGTTAGACGTTTTCCCAAGGAGGTGCCTTCAGGACTTGGATTGTGTGCTCTGTGGCATTGCCCTTGTAAAACTGTACTTCAACGAGAAAGCAGGCTACAGGAAAACTGGAGATAATGGTCTTGTCTTTCATCTTTTAACTTGCTTCTGGCAAAGGTCGTAAGCTTAAGAGAAAATACCTCCTAGGAGGCGATTGCAGAAGAGCCTGTTTAAAGGCCTCTTTCGAAATTTTGTCAGTTATGGCGAGTAACTCGGTCCTCTGCGATAGAAGTGGCATTCGCAACTGCGATGCTGGAACTGCAAATAAATGTATGGGCAGAGTTGGGCATCCCTGCTAACTGCCTGAACTGGCTGGTAAATAAAGGAGCGTGGAGAGGGGTATCCGATAGCGCAAGCTCCTGAGGAGAGCAGGGTGAGCTTGGTGCGCGTATGAGAATTCCCAGCCTGCATCGCTGAGAACGGGGGTGCCACGCAGTCCCCTCTTGGTACAGATCACTCGCTCTTCCTTTAAAATACGCCTGTCGGTTAATGTGGTCATGGTGTTGTCACTCTTTCAATACAGTTGTGGTTTCGAGTTTTCCCTACTGCCAAACCTCCCTCCAGAAAAACTGGCAACGCTCTGTGCTCTTCTGACTTTGGCTTCTTTATTTTCCTTGCAGGCGGCTGCCGCTTCCTTGCCCTGTCTCCTCTCAGTCATGAGGTTACTGGGGCTGCTATTCCTGCCCTTCTTGAGCTTAAGCTAGTGAGCCTTGCTGACTTGGGCTGTCTGCTTTATGCTCTTGGTTCTTGCACAGCTTATTTGTTTGGGCTCAGTGCCTTGCTTGTAGCGCGTTTATGCCTCCCCATGGAGGTACGCGTTATCACTTATGCGTTGCTGGCTTGGAGGTCAGCATCCCATTGGAAATAAAAGACTGGTTTTAGGGTCTCCGTCTGTGTAGGTAATCGAACACCTCTCTTGAGAGCGTACCTTAACTGCAAGGCTAGAAGGCAGGTGTCACCCCTTCTGAAGCTAGAGCAGCATATGCAGAAGAGAAATCGTGATTTCTGGAGCAACAGAGGGAGCAACTCAGAGCAGGGATGCTTGCTTTCTTGATTCCCACCATTCACTAATGAGAGATGCCTGGTAACTTTGTCCTGCAAAGAGAAGCCGTTACAGATGCACGGAGCAGACGGGGATTGTGTCGTAAACAATCCCCGAGTAAGTCCCTCGGCTTCTCTTACAGAACCTCTGCCTGACCGCTAGTGTAGCATGTGCCCACGCCCAAGAGCTGTGCAAACTCCTGCCGAGTGCCAAGCTCACCGTGGATCTGGGTCTTAGCGTTTGCCTCGGCTTTATAATAGCTCAGGCCCTTAATCCCATTGAGCAGCTTAGGGACGTTACTCTCACTACCCACAGATAGCTGCTTGTGAATTCTTGATTGTGGGACCCGAGCGTATGTGGGGGGAAGGCGTTTCGAGTGTTAATTGTGCCCCTTGTGGGGATGGAACCTATTGCAGCTTTCTGATTTTTGGGCTTGACCGTGTGTTGTGACACAAGACGGTTACATCTTCGGCCTGATTATTGCAATAAAGTTTATGACTCCGCAGGTAGAACAACAACCTCTAAGACAGAGTTGTCTACGCCATTCGTACCCAATTGGTAATCTGATTAATGCATTTTTACTTACTATGACTTCCTTTGAATTGATATATTTTTAACTTTCCCAATCATTTCTGCTAATAAAATGTGCCCGTCTGCTAGCAAAGCATACTCTTCTGCAATCGCTGTATTTCTTTCCCTTAGTTTCTAGTTTTGTGCTATTAATCTTCCTTGATTCCTTCTTCCCTCTTGCAGGTTTCTTACAGAAATGATATCTCTATAGTATATGAATTCTTACTGCTGTTTCCTGATGGTGGCAGGTGAGGACCACTGCAAATGATGCTCAAACGAGAGAGCTGCAGTTGCAGATAGGGTTTTTCAACCTGTTAACTGCGGAAAGAAAAACATACGTAAATCTGTGCCTTTATGGGAAAAGTGTGCAGGGCATGGCAGACTGAAACATTATTTTTCTAAATAAAGTGTCTCTGTACCTGTTAGTCTTTGCCAGTTGTATATCGAAGGGTTCCTCTATTCTTCAGATTGTTTAGCAGGCTGACCTAACTGTTTGCAACACTAGAAATGTTTAAGGTAAAACAAATTCACTCGGAAGTCTCTTCAGGGCTTAGTCATTCATCTCTGAATCTATTTTGTTCTCTTAGGTAGCACAGCACCTTGCTAGAATGTATCGTTTGTTCTTTCTCTGATAACTGTAGTGTAGCTGTAAGTTGTACTATGCTCGTACTCGCAAATTTATTTTGACAGTTTCGAGGATAATGCTCTTTGGCGAGAGACTCCATTATTTATATTATCTATGGGACCTGTTTTCATCTCACTTCATGTCCTCTGGGTGTGAATGTCACTTAAACACAGCACGGCTATGTTATCGTAAGAGATCAAACAAATACAACCTTTAATCCACCTGAGAATGCTTTTTTTTTTGTGGCGAGAGTGGCACTGACACTCTGATAACTGCGAATGATTCATATGACAAACAGACTAAGCAAATCCATTGGGTATTACATGGGTTTTTATGTATTCCTCGCTGTGCTGCCTGCATCATCTTAAGCAAATATTAGTGAAGTGGTTGATTTTTATTTTTTCAAATAAAAATAATCCTTTGACCTTACAAACTCTCAAGTAACTGTTTGGGTAGTTAACTTTTCTACTTATTTTACTATGTTAGAACTCCCCCCCCCCCCCCA